TATATTATATAAAGTATATTGATCTGCTCTTTATGCAGACTTTCTCCTGTCCGTTATATTAAATGTACGTCGTCGTCTGTTCAGCCATCTACTTTCATATATTGTTCTGCAAATTGTTCATTTTCGCTTCGGACAGTGTATATGCTACTCAGTGAGTACTTGTCGCATATGTGATCGTTGGATGAGTATGTTTATGTCATACCGCATATCAGTGGCTCGAAATGCAGTTTGGCACACCCTAGGTGTCTTTTTTCTAGCACATATGTCGCACTTTATTGCTACACGCTGCTCACATTACGTCTATGAAACTTCTTACCCTTTTCATTCTCAGAAATGAGAATAAAGGAGAGCAAGCGTGTGGCAGCTTACCGCAGAGAGAAAGAAATGATGTTGGAAGTGAACAGGTAAGCACTGGTTGTATAGTGTGGTCTTGCCTGCGTGTCGCCCCACACTTAGCAAGTGCACATATTGTAGCCACTCTGAGCCTCTGCGTAGGATTTACGTCGGCCGACTAAACCATGATATAGTTGCGAACATTGTCGGCATTACTGGTGGTTGTTCATATGGAACCTCAGACCAGCCGAGGACCCCATGATATCCACATGCTATGGTTTTGCATACAATCCCATGGGAGCGTAGTCGTTTCGATGTATTTCATCAGCACGTTGTTGTATCCCCTAGTTCCCATGGGGGGGTATCGGATAGGCTGTGATCATGGCAATGTGTGCTGTGGTTTTCTACCCTTGTGAGTGCTGGCCTTTCTGGCGTTCCGTGACAATCCTTGACTCCCACATGGTGACAGCATACTAGTGTGTGTACCTTATGTTTCAGTGGTTTAATCCTGTAGGATGCAAACCTGTCTTTGCTGTGATCATCTCCCTCATGTGAGTTGGGGATCTTCTTCTGGCATTGAAGTTGTCTCAACAATGTTAACAGCCTGATAGCTTCGCTCTGTGGTATCTGATCGTACTTTCACACCCATCAACATAGAAAATTGATGTCAGCTGAGACAGAGTTAGTTGAGCGTGAGCGCTATTCCATCCATGAGAAGGCGAGAAAGGTAAGTGTATTGCTACTTTAAACATGTGTAACACATAATCATCAACCGACTTGTTATTCTGTGACCCGTCACATGGAAAGTGAGTTTGGCGTCCTTCTAGCACGTGGCCGTATTTTATGTTGTGCACATTCGTAAACCCGGATCCGTCCATACCTATACACAAGCCTGCATTGTCCTATCGCTTTGAACCATGAACATCGGCTGCTATCATCATCAGCACATGTGCGCCGAGACGCAATCGTGCAGGTGGTTAACTTCTGTTGCTTGCAAGCATTCCCGTGACAGGGTATTGCACATCAGCCTCAATTCAACCGCAGCGCACACCTTTGGCGCTTAGAAACACATACACTGTGATATACTTGGTCCTTATGTGTGCCTGGGCATGCCACGGTTTACATGGTGACAGATCCTCGATAAGACGTCTTCCCTGTGTGTAACAGTGGCCCGTGGGTTTCAGCAGTGTCAATATGTAGAACAATACATTCCATTATTGTGTCATTGCTATGACGGTAGCAGCAGCATATACGGGATATACATGGCACCTATAATCCACGGCATATACATGGGCATGCACGTTCACGGGTCATTCCTTTATGACGCGTCCAACAACACCCTATGGTGTACAAGATCATACACACCTGCACATGTTTCATCACACATCCTTCACACGTGTTAGCACCATCGTCGAGTACGTGCATCCCACGTACTCAATAACTACACTGTTCGCTCGCCTGTGTGCAACAGCATCGTGACCAGAAAGACGCCAAGAAGAAGAAGAAGCAGGTCCTACAGCTGCGCAAGCAGGCCGAAGAAGCTGACTCGTATTTGGTTGACGACACCGAAACCATCGACGCCATCAAGAAGGTCGCCCGACAGGAGAAGGTATGCGAATTGTCGTAGCTTTGTGAGATCTGGTGTGGTTTTGGATGAGAATTTAGATGAATGTATGTACGGTGTACCTGGATTCTCTATGCGAATGCAAACGATTGTCTATGCGTATGTATAATTTCATATATATATATATATTTTATATATATATATATATATATTTTATATATATATATATATATATATACATATGGTATTTA